AAATAATCAAAATCCCTTTTTGTTTTAGAGAAGTTAGCATGATAATAACCCAATTCTATCTATCTTTAAAAAGTCACTATTATGTTAACTTCTCTAATTAAATTGATTTAAACAGCCAATCATACGAAAGTCTTCCTATGACTGTCTCGCTGGGGTGAGATATCATATGAGTTGTAAATTTTATCTGCAGATGTTTCCAAACTTAGTAATTTTAAATTCCAATAACTCGTGAACTAATAATAAAATTAAGCTTATTTTAATTTTTTTAATGTGCTCTTTAATGTAATACGTACGTAGAGCTGGTTAGACATTTTTCTTAGTAACAATTGGATTTTTATTATATAAATTTCGTACGTATTATTTTATATAAAATTACAAAAATGGCTCTATTACACTAAAGAGCACTTTAAAGCAATTCAAATTAGCATAATTTTACGTATAAGTGAGCATTGGTTTACGAGTTATACGTACGTATGAGTTTAAAATTCACTATGTTGTTATTAGGGCTTCCGATTATCTGAAAATCTTTATTAATAAAATTTACTAATAATCTCGATAGCCAATCATGATTGAGAACTATCAAAAAAATTTATTCGCTTTATAAAACCAATCTTTTTAAGTTTTTGAGTCCATAATTAGATTTTAGAACTATCACTATGTCAAATTCGGAAGAACGCCTTAACGAATTAGAGGTCATAAAAACTAAACTTGATATTTCAATTGACTTGGTTTCCTCTGTAGTGGACTCCTGGTTACCACCACTTGATCCTGGTGAACAAGAGAAAGAAAAGGAGGAAGAACGAAGGCGAGAAAATCAACTAACAAAGTCGATGCAAGAGCTACATGCAACGAGGTGAAACTCTTGTAAACTTTGTTTGAGCTGGATTCGTATGTAATCTCTCTTACTTAACCTTCCGTGCAAATGAACAGGGTTGGTGGAACTGGTAGCGTTAAATATAGGTCAACTTCCGAAAAGAAACTAAAACGTAAATTAATACAAAGAAATATATATTATGAAGATGACAATTTGAATAATAACAACGGAAATAAACAGATAACAAGGGAAAATAAATCTGAGGATGAAGATGATAGTAAAACTTTTGCTACATGTAAAAAATCAAAATTAGATTCGGCTACTAATTATGATGAAAAAACATCAATTTTAAAAAATGATTTTTTGTCATTGTATCTTGCTAAAAGAAACAAGAAGAAGAAATCTAAAAATAAATGAATGATAATAAAAAATCATGTCATTAATTTAACGTGGTGGAAAACTGGGACCTTTGCCTTGAAAAAATTAGAGTGTTCAAAGAGGTTTATGTCTGAATGCATTAGCATGGAATAATAAAATTGGTTTCTGAACCACCATAATGATTAATAAGGATAATTGGGGACATTAGTATTCAATTGTTAGAGGGATTTATTGAAGACTCGGCGAAAGCATTTGCTAAGGACGTTTTCATTAATCAAGATCAAAAGTTATGGATCGAAGACGATCAGATGCCGTCGTAGTCTTAATCATGTACTACGCTGACTAAGGATCGGTCTGATACTAATTTTTCTTGACTTGTTCGGCGCCTTACGGGAAACCAAAGTGTTTGGATTTTGAGGCATTATAGTTTTTATGACCGATAACATCAAATTTATCTTACTGTTAATTTGTGTGATATACTATATTATAGTATACTACAGATATAATACACTTTTATATATAATTGAAAATGTGTTCGATGACTATAAATATGGTATGATCTCATTAAACGTTTTATTAGACAAATATGTTGATGAAATAAATTTTCTAAAATACCGTTACATATCTTCAAAACAAGATAATACCTACTATAATAAAACCAAAACATCATTGGAATTTTAGACGACACAAGATGAAAATGTTGACTCTAAAAATGTTCAAATTGTAAACCAACAACTTCGCTTTCATATTATTAGAATTTCATCGATCCCTTTCATGTTCAAGATCGCCATTTTATAATCTACCCTCATTATAACAGATTTTTTATAGTGGGATTCCTCGCTATGGTGGAGAATTCCTCTAAAATTGTTTACAGTAAGAACAATTTAAAATTATATTATTATACTATATAACGTTATAGCGGGTATTTCATTATAACGGATTTGCAATAGATAAAAATTCCCAGCTCGATCACTACGTTATATCGAGGGCAGACCGTAATACTAAAGATTGTTAAGCACAAAAATCTCTGCATGGCGGACTTTCGATTTGATTGATTAATAAATGTAAACAATAAACGTGATCACTAACCAATCAAATCAATCACAAAATCTAATACTAATATCGATATAGCGAAGCTTTGTTTTTACTTATTATAATCTAAGTAGTAATCTTATTTTATTCCGAACTATTACAGCTTATACAAGATAAATTATAACCTTTAGTTTATATAATACTAATTATTACTTATATATTATCAAAACAAAATTATATCAGATCTATTTAATGGTTTAACTAATTTTTTTTTTTTAAATATTAAGGTGAGTACTTGCGACCCAGGATTTTATTGATAGTATATTTGGTTAATGGTTGCTTTACAATCACAGGGGGCAACCATGGAGAGAGTGCACAACTAGCCACTCATACAACTTTAGTCATTGTCTAATTTAAGTAGTCTGCCTGAAGGTTTTACACTAGCTGTCATACCTGGAACCCACTTGTAGGTTCTTTATTTAACTACTCTGTTTCTGTATCCACCCACCTACCTCTGCCTACCAACGACCCCAGCTGATGTTGGTAAAAATATGTCATGGCCACTAAGTCTTTAAAGTAGTTTCTTTGAACCTTTGACCTTGTACTAAACTTTTCAGAATTTTCTGTATTCCATTCTTACAGCTGACCTGGTATCACTATAACCAAGACCAACACTGGCAGTCAAAATATACCATTAAACCATTTTTGCCCTTGTAGAGTTCACTCCAACCCTGGTACTGACTTCACAATATATCCTTACTACTTTGGATTCAATTCAAGTTCTACTAAACTGCTATTCCAGATAGCTCGAAAAGGTAGAGTAAGACCATATCTCTGGTTTACATGTTTGCCGACATGTACCCTTTTCCTTCGGAACCTGAAAATTCTGACGACCTGGTTGGTTCATCTGGTCCCTCCCCAAGAACCAGCACATTTGTTCAGTTTTACAAATTCTAGCTTCATTTCACAAGTCTAGTCTTTACAGTAGTATCATTGAAAGTTCAGGTTATCTCTCTACTTGGGTCTTCCAAGTAGGCTTCTATCTCCTTCTATTGGTTCCTATAATTTACACAGCCACGAGAACTTATTGTAAGTTTATACCACCCGGTACCAGTTTGCATTTCTTTGTGTAACTACAGACCTTGTCCCAAAGAACAATGTCATGTAACCATTACACAAATACCATGTGACCTGCCAGTTATGCTGGTGTGACACAAGTTACAGGTATCTTATCCCAACCAATCGCAAGAAACAGTTAACCATAACACAGGAAGGATTTTCAAATTTTTCCGTCAACACTGGGATTTGAACTCTGGACCTGCCACTTGAGGGTTAACAATTTTTTTATTATCTTACCAAATCTTAATTCAATTATTAAATAATTAGTTATTAGAAAATAGCAATGCATCTAACTAACAATAATATAACTGCTTTTTTTAAAAAAAAACAATAAAAAAATTATACAAAAAATTAAATTTAATAATTAGCTTTAACTGCATGTGTTGGTCTTAGCCATAACATTTATATAGAATTATTTTTGTACATAGTAACTCCATGTAGTTACTAACTTTAAAAACTACCAATAAAGATATGAGCAAGGCCTCACCTTAATACCAAAAAAAAAAAAATTTAATTTTATATTATAAATCCTATAAACTTTAAAAAGTTGTATAGCAAAATTTTATTAAGAAACAAAACTTGTTTCTTAAGTAAAAAATGTTTCTATTAATTTTGAATTAGTTAAGCTTAAAAAAAAAATTGAAAAAATTACCAATTTGATCCCTTTTTTCAGAACACAGCCCATATATTAACTTATTTGTATATGTCCCGTGACTAAATAAATCAATAAACATTCTTTATTCTCATACTTTATGCTCAAACTACATAAAATTAGAAGGATATTTATTTAAAACAAATAATGCTTAGATCCTATACGGGTAACCGGGTGGCTCTTATGCGGGTATAATCTCTAGTTTAAACCATGTGTAAGACAAGAAGCCCAAACGTAATTTGCAGGGGGTGAAGGATCTACAAAAGACGGTGGAACGCATGATGATCCAATAGTACCAGGTACAACCAAAAATGCATCCCACTGACGTCTATGCATATAACGTTAGCGAGTTACGTATAAGACCTTGCATCGAAATGAATACCGTGTAATTTTTACCTAATTGAGATAAGGTTATCAATGTCAAACTCTGCTTTATGCCAATATTCATAAACAGGATCCCTTTCTTTTTCTCGTTCTTTCATTCCAACATCCATCGCTTCATTTCTTTTGTGCTCTGCAGCAGCATTCCTTTCCTGATCTAACCTCGCTTCCTCAATTTTCATTTCATCGTTCAACGATGCAACTTTATTAAAGAATTCATCATCTTCCTCGGGGAAAAAGTGCCCTATTAATGTAAAAGTATTAGAAACGAATTTGCAAAATTTAATAATTTATAAATTTATGTACAATTTTTAGATAACCTTCTCGTTTCAATCGTTCCCTACGAAGATCTCGCAATTTCTTAACTTTTTCAAGTAGTTTTGAAAGTTCTCTATGCTTGCTTCTGTTTGCTTCAGCCTCTTGCACCCGTTTTTCGGCTTCCCTCCTTCTGCCTTGTTCCTATGATATCATTAATGAGGATAGATTTGGATGTTTCAGGTAATGTAATTTTCAATTCACTCACACGTTTAAGTGCCAGCTCTTTTGCGATCCACTCGGTTCGCCATTCGTCAATGGTTTTGTGTAATGTTTCTCTTCGACGCTGCCGTTCATCTCGAACCATTTGTAACTTTTTGATATGTTTTTTTCGCCATTTCTTTTTTTTATTTTTTTGATAAGCGTTGAGTTGAATACAAAAGGATTTAATTGTCACAAAATAAAGCTTAAGTAACCTTGTGGCGATTGATCTTTGACAATCTTAATTGCAGGTTGTCAACAAATGTTTGATCTAATAATGTTTGCATAGTTGTATCTAAGCTTTTCTGTACTTCAAAAAAGATAAAATTTTAATTTATTATAAATGTATACATGCTAAAACAGTAAGTAATATACCTTTGCAGCCTCAATTCTTGCGACTCTTTCCGTCCATTCATCATGTTCTGCAGATTCTTGTGCTTCTTTCAATTCTTCTATTTTAGTCTCCAGGTTTTCTAACGAAAATTTCGCTTGGAGAAATTTGTTACGTGTATTTGTAATGCTAAGGTTACAAATAGCTTTGGAGATTTTTATTAGTGCTGTAGCGAGACATTCTGTTTTGAAAAAGTTACTTTAAAACTACCTTCAAGTTTTTTTTCTTTACTCATTTAAAGAAAGTCGCTACTAAGCTAACACCTCTTGAATTTTAGATAGTACTCAAACAAAGTACACGTAGAGGGTGCATCTAAATACCCAACAGCTTACGTAATGTTTTATGACGATTTATGCATATCCGGCCAATCATAACCGATCACTAGTATGGGTTAATTTTCTACTTTTATCTAAATGCCCTACGTTTAACAATTTGTTGTTTATCACTTCACCTTCTCTTTATTTCTCATTCATTATATAAATATATAATTATTAAAATATTTAATTTATTGCTTATAATCTATTTTTCATTTGTGACGTTACTTTTTCGCCTCTGTGATTTTTATACACTTAGCTTTTTGTTTCGCTTTCATGATCTTTATTTCTACATTTTTTCTGTGGTTATTTTATTTATATATAATTTATCTTTCATTTGTAATGTTATTTATATCTTTCGAATAAATTATTTATTTATTTACCTGTGATTTGGGACATTATCGCATTTTTTTTACTGTGATCTTATCTTAATTTTTTTTTTTTGCTCATAATTTTAACCGCATTTTCCTTTTAGTAGATTATTTGTTTTCTTCGTGATTCTATCTGTATTTTATTTTTAGCTTTCGTTTTCTGTATTTTTTGCTTTCATGATTTTATCTGTTATTTATATCTTTTGAATGAATTAAATAACAAATATTTAATAACAACATTTAATTTACAGTTAATTCATATTGATGCTGCATTTATTAGTTACATATTTGTTTTATTTGCTTTTATGATTTTATCTATTTATTCTTTTGAATTGTTATATATTTAATAAAATGTGATTATATAAAATTAACTACATATTGTATACAATCAATTCTAATGTCTAATATTTTATGTTCATAAATACTAAATACATATAGTATGAATATTTTGACAATAAAAATTAGTGTTGAATGCTTAAAAAAAATTTAATAAAGTCTACTTATTTAATATTATAAATTATTAGTAATTAATTAGTAAATTTATTAATTAAATAAATAATATGTTATTTATAAAGTTAATAATTTGATTATACATTTGTAAAATTCTACACTACATTATAAAAATGCTACATCGTAACTACGCAGCTCATATTTAAATGTATGCTGTGATCAAACTACTAAAATACTATATTGTATTATGTTTAAATGCTAATAGCAATTAATTTACCAAAGTTGCCAATATTATAAGTTGACAATTTTGGTATTATTTATAATTTCTATATATTATCTTTATTTATAAATATCTAAAGAATATAGGTACTGATTTAATTCTAAATATATGCAATAAATGTTTTATAAATGCATACTAATTTCATGAAAAAAAATAAAAAAAACTTCAATGCAAACTAATATTTTAAGAATAAATAAATGTTTCTTTATTAACATATTTAAAAATATAAAAAGCAATTATGGCAGTATAATATTTTTAGATTAGAATTAACTAAATTTTTTTTTTGTTTTTACCTTAAACCAAATTGCTTATAATACATGTTAAAAGTTTTTTTTTCTTAGAAAAAACCATCATGACTAGTGAATTTGATCTAGTTAATATAATTAATATTATTAATAAGATTAATAAAAATGAAAATAAAGATCAAAATAATAATATTCAAATATATATTCATCTTGAATTAGGTACATATAAAGAATAGATTAAAAATAATCTTTTTAATATTTTTAAATTATATTATATTTAGTATAATAGATAAAAGAATAAAGAATATAAAGCAAATAAAATGTATCTATATCATTGTATTAAAAAACCTACAAGATTTTAGATAAAACAAAGAGTACAGAATTGACTTTATAAAATAAGTACTTAGAAATGACAAACACATCAAGAGAATAGAAGAAAATTTTTAGAATAAAAATAATTGGATTATAGTAAACTTTGATTATGAATATAACAAAAAAACAACAAATAAGAAAGTGTTAAGAAAAGAAGGTAATTGGTATAAACTCATTTCTATAGAGACAAAAAAACAAAAGAGTAGTTTTAATTATAATACAAATAAAGGAAAACAAATCAGAAATTTAAAAAACAATACAATCAAATGAACAACATTAAATTTACAAAAAACTAAATATAAACTTAATCTTACAAAACAATAAACTAAATTAATTCGTACCAAAAGAGAAAAGAGAAGATGAAGAATCTAAACTATTTGACTATATGAAATTTATCAACAAATATCAATTATAAAGAACTTGAATTTATGTATAAAAGTATTGAAAATGCAAAAGCTATAAGAATTAAAAAATCTTAGTTGAGGATGGCGATCCTAGTGTAGTAGTTGGGTTGTCATCCTTCAAGTGGCAGGTCTAAGGTTCAAATCCCACCTATGACGAAATTTGGAAATTATATCTGTGTTATGGTAACTGTCTCCTGTCGATCGGTTGGCCTCATGTGGCTGTTACCCA